TGAACTTTTCATGCGTAGAAAGTTAATATGCGAGATGCCACATGGGTTAGATGACGCGCTTTAAAAGTATTCAACTGTTTAAAGCGCGTCATCTAACCCATGTAAGTATTCTCTGCTTTAACAAAAAGACTTCAATTTATCAACAATTTACTACTTTAAATGTTGTGTTTTGGTAAAGCAGCGACTTTCTCGCGAAATAAAGTATTCTCTGCTTTAAAGAAAAACGTAATATTAGTCGTTTATGCCTCTCAGTACTTAAAATAACTGCTATATTTTCGAAACATTTTTTGTTAATAACTTTTTAACGAATAACGAGCGCGGGCTAAAACCTTATGAAGGTCACTCAAGAGGGTGACCTTGACAATATACTAAAATATCAAGGTCATCAAAGGTGGTCCCCCCCCCATCTAAACAATTACCGTATTTATTTATAAGGTATGTGCACACAAATTATACTAATATTTAAAATTATATATTATAAAAAATATATATATCCTTAACCCTTAAACACATATGTTGGGTATGCCATACCCGGTCGGTTCTTTAATCACATGCCATTTCGAAACGGATGACGGTAGCGGTCCGGTATGGGCGTGTAAAAAAACTTTGAGGTTTTGTCTTGAACGTCGAATTTGAAACAGCGTCAAACTCGCCGTAGAAGCCGAGCAAAAAAGTAAGAAAGTTTGTTTCGGGTATGCCATACCCACTTTATGTGTTAGTGAAATTTTTTGAGATATTTTATTTTATTTATTTACCGCAATGTATCAAATAATTTGAGGTTATAATCTTACAATACGGATTATTTCAAGTTATGTTATTTCATTTATACGATGTACAAATGTTTGAAATGCGAATTGCCAATGTACAAAGTACACAGGGCAAAAATATGTACTCACTGTTCGGTATAATACATTTTTTTTTATAAAAATAAATTACTTTCAAAAAATTATATTGTAATTTTAAATTATTTTTAACCTATTTCTATAAAATAATTAAATATATGTATGGTTCTTATATCCACCAGTTTGTTGTTGTAAAATTTTTAAAGCCAAATTTAACTTTTAAATTATGTTTATCAATCGCAAAAACTAGACATAAAGTCTTAAAAGTTTTTATAAATTAATTCCAGAATTACAGGATTTTTTTTCACGTGATTGAAATGCTCCAAAAAAGTTAAAAATTGTCCAAGTTCACCATGTCAAATAATTATACTTTTTGGAACAAATAATTATGACGTATTTTTTTTCATATACTATCATTTCTGTACTTTTAAGATCCGTTTATGAAATGTCTTTATCGGTTTTTTTTTAAATTATGAATTTTTAAAGATAAAGTGATTTTTGCACAATTTGCTTACTACTTCATTCGACTTATTTGCAAATATCTTTGAAGATAAACGTTAAATCACAATATAATTTACATGGTCTTCTTCCTTACAGTCTAGCACACAATTTAAAAAAAAAGAAGTTAAAATTGATGCACAAGACGCAAAGTTACAGTTGAAATACGCGAGTCGGGTATGGTATACCCATGTTATGTACTGACTGGACAGTATGTGTTTAAGGGTTAACATAACTCAAAGTGTTTCTCAGTCTTTAATCATTAAATCACATTAAATACCTGAATTGACAACATATGCAAAGAATCTAATAACCCCAATAATACTTGAGGTAGCATCAATCACAAAAAAATGTAACTCCTATATCTTTTGTATGATAATTAATATCCTACATTCTTACTATTAAATCATGTCTAAATTCTTTTATACTTTTAACATAAAAATATAGGAGGTACATAAGTTGACAATATTTAAAAAAAATCTTAAAAATATTTGAGGTAGGACCAACCCTTAAAAAATCAAACCTTTCTATAATTATATACAATTAATTTCACACAATTATGTGAGTTTGATTTTTTACAACTTAAGAGACTGAAGTACTTAAACTATTAATGATTAATATAGAAAAAAAAGAATACTACTAAATAATAATAAGAGTGCTATTAAGAGTAAATGCAAATTAGGAACAAAACAAAAATTGCACAATAAACGGAAATCATCTCAGACTAGCTGGAGAACTGTATCAAATAACGAAATCATACATTAATTTAATTTTTGGTCATAGACCTTCTTGGTTTCTCTAGTAGCCAACGGAAGCGTCAAGTGCTTCAATAATATGGAACTCTACAACAAAAAACGAGAAAAGAATTAAAGAAAATAATGCACATTGCCAAAACAGAGAAGAACTATACACCACTTACAACTCCTATAACTTCTCTAGGAGTCGGTTCATTGCACTTTGATAAACCTCAATGGCACGATCCTGTCGCTCCATACGTTCAATGTGCCTCTTCTGTTGCGCCTCTTCTTTTTTCTTAGATTCCTCTGTTCTTATGGTAAGTAGTCTTTCGATGTTTTTTTCAGTAATACTTTTCTTTTTTTTAGATTTAGGAGTAAAAATACATCCATTCTCACTGTCGCCTTTACTGCTGCCTATGAGTACAGAAGATGCATTTGAACAGTTCTGAGTATCAAATTCATTACGCCTCTTTAGTGTTGAAGCTATGGACACAGGCTTCACAGCTGGCTTATCGCCAAGAACATCATCCATTTCGTTATGAAACTTGCATGTAGCAACTGGAAGACCACTGCCCTTCTCATTCTGATCTTTAGCTTTTACATAGTGTATGCTAAGGTCCTTAAATTTGTCTACACATTGCTGTCCGGTATAGTTCCAGAATGAGTTCTCTTTTTTTAACTTGCTAGCTATCATTTCCCAGACTTTTTTGTTAGTAATGGTAGTGCTCTTGAAATAGCTCTCATGTCCTCTCCATTCGTCAATGAGAGTTTTAACGGCATAATCATCTTTCCATGACGCTGCACCTGTGGCAAAAAAAAGAATTGGTAATGAATAAAGCAGACAAAGTGCATAAGAAGAAAAAAATTACAATATAAAAAAATGCGTACCTTTCTTGCCAGAGATGTTAACTGTTGACTTTTTATTTTCTTCAGAATTTACAACGGCTGTTCATCGAACAACAGTTCTGTTTCTGGCACTGAAGTCTCACCTGTTCACCAATAAATATATTATTTGAGAAATAAGTTATTAAATCAGAAAACAATTAAAAACAACT